CTCTCTCTCTCTCTCTCTCTCTCTCTCTCTCTCTCTCTCTCTCTCCTCCGGTGTCTACTTCCACTATCGTCCGTTTGTTCGTGCGACTCGACTTGTTTTAGCGTGAAATCATAAATCATCTGTGTGTCAAGCGATACGCGTGCATGTCGTGTCACAAAGTGCTCGTTGCAAAAGGCGAAGGTCGCGTGCGATAATTATCATTGGTGCGCGCGGTGTTGATGACGCATAAATGCACCGTTGTCGCATATCGACGACGTTTCTCTCTTCATCGAAATCTCACGTTAATGCCATCCCCACTTGTCGGCGTGGCGGCCGTCCAACGCGAAATTCGGTCGCGGCCTGCCAGATTCGGCCGCGGATGAATCCCATAACTGCGTTGGATGGCATACCGATCACGAGCCAGGAACTCCAGCCAAATCGATGCCTTCTCTCTCTCTCTCTCTCTCTCTCCCTCTCCTTCACCCTCTCCTTCTCCGTTCATCGATATCGTGTCCATCACGCGGGTCTCTTTGCGTTACGCGCGTTAATACCTGCTTGGATGTCCTTTCATCTCTCGGTTACTAACCCTCACAGCACGACAATCGAGTCGCAAGATAAACACGGAGACACGTATCTCCGTGCAGTGTATGTGAAACGAAAAGTTCGGTTTTTATTCGGCCAATATGCTCGCTTTACAAACTCTCGTTTACAGCCCTTGTCTTGCCCCCTCTCGTAGTGCGCTCGCACACTAATTGCACCACTTCAATTGCACCACTGTAATTAACATCAGGAGGCAGCTAATTCGATTGCGCGAGGTATGCGATCTCGAAACTTGGAGCGAAACGGCCATCGCCGCTCGGCGGCGAACAAAAAAATAGAAAGAAGTAGAAAGAAGAGAGAGGATGAAAAAAAAAACGTGAAAATTGCTCTTTCATATTGCATATGTCCCGCAAAGTTCCTCTAATTTCGTCTTAATTGCCGCGGGACATGCTCGATTCTGCCGCCCCGCACAGGGTTAATTGACGAATAACGTGCGAGTAAACTTCTCGCGCTCGCGCGTGACTTAACCGAAACTTTTCATTCGATTATCGTACAACGCGACTGTCCCCGAGGGCTCGTTAAGAACGATATTCAATCTTCATCCGTTATTTCTCAAACTAAACGCGAGACTCGAACGTTCACGTGCGTGACAGTATTAGTTGGTTCCCTTAACGTTTCGTGTGTTCGTTTCGTGTCGAAAGGATATTTATATTCGCAAGACTGACGTATTTGGATCAGCTTTATGTAAAACTTGATGGAAAAGACGATTTCCTTGTACTCTTCTGTGTGTGTGTGTGTGTGTGTGTGTGTGTGCGCGCGCGCGCGTGTGTGTGTGGCGCATATGTATGGCGAGTACAAGCACATGTGACTACGACGTACGACATGATTAATCACCCACAATGTAGTTTATGATAATTCGGCAACACAGAACTCGCGCGCCGCACGCAGTTCTGCTGCGCTCAAATGAGACCAATATTCGCGTCCGCGGCTGCTGCGTTCTCCCTCTCTCTCTCTCTCTCTCTCTCTCTCTGTCTTTCTCCTCCTTCCAGCTATGAATCTTCTTCAAGTCACACCGGTTACGTCGCATACGGCGCACACGGCGCGGTTAGTATTCCAGTCCAGATTTGCGAACCATTTTACAGACGGAAGACGAGAGTCGCACATAAGACACAGCTGATGCGCACTCACAAAAGGAATGCAGTCAGCGTAATGTCCTCGCTAATGCGGCAACCGCCGTATCCGTCTCGGTCCCGGTCTCCACTTCGGCTTAAACGATAAAATAAGCGATAATAATAACATTTTCCTGCTAAAACTCTATTTACTCGGTTTACTCGTGTCCGGGCCAAGAGAAACAGTTGTCTTTTTGGCGCGAAAGGTGAAAAACGTGCAAACACATGGGATTATCGAACCGTGATAGCATCATGATTTATTTGGAGCGGGATCGAGTTTCGCGGACAGACACGCCAAATATTTGCATTTCGTGCTTCGCGTAATTAGATTCTTTGAGAAAAATACCGGATCGAGGAACTAGAGGCTACCAAATTTCTGGATTTTTCGCTCAAAACTCGACTCGTCTCGACCCCTTGGCGCGTCCAGGCGCCGGTTAAAAGGAACGGAACGGTCTTCCGTCGGGATCAGATGATCGTTAAAGAGGAGAGAAGAGACACTCGGTTAGCGGGGAAGAATCTTGCTTTACGCGCGCATCCACGCGCGCGAGTACTTCAGGTCGCTTTTCTTGTGCGACCCATCGCGAGAGTGAGTGAGCGCTGCGCATGATACAAATCACGAATTCAATTACTTTCGCGTGACTGAGACCAGGAGAGTATGTAAAATGCCTCCGCGTGTAATTTTTTTTTTTTTTCTTTCACTCATAATCCCACGCAATCAATCGCGCGTGAGCTTCCGTGTATCCGCCTCTACTCGCAATAATAAATCCTGGTCGATATGCCGCGCCGGTATACATACTGTATACAGCAAGTATAATGCAAGGCATTGGCGAAAGATTGAACGACAACAGCCCATCAAGATTGTAATATAAATCAGCCCGCGCTAGCACGGACAAAGCACGACGAAAATAGCGTGTTTGATCGATATTGGGACCACGCCATTCGTAACGCCACATACACATTGTTGCACGTTGCGCACGGCTGATTGCAGTCCCCGAGCCAAAACACCCGCGGATCCGCGAGTTACAGATCTATCATTGTCCGGCGATCACCAACGGCTCGTAGAAACCGCCTAATTTACGGACGACATCTATTGTACCCTTTTAACCGAGAACATCGTAGCTGACGTTAAAGAGGCCGCGGTTACTCCGCCGCTGGAGCAACGTACGTTTCCAGTTACCAGTGTTGGGTGAAAATCAACCACACAGATACGTCCCTTTTTTCCCTTTTCTCTCCTTTTTCGATTTCCTTCGAGTCCCAATATGGCGGCACCCCTTTGTCGACGCGCGCGGCGTATACGCGAGTACTGTAAGCGCCGCGCGGAGGAAGTTCATGTACGCACCCCCCTCAAATCACAGACAGACAGAGTATTCGTGAAAAATTGCATTTACAGCTTCTCCATTCTCGCAGCAGACGCATCGGAATGAGAAGTAGGTGGAAAGAGAGAAGCGATACCGGCTGCCCCCTCGCTCAATCGATCGTGAGTGAAAAAGAATGATGGCCGAGAGTGCGCGACGCTGGACCCGAAGCGCGTCGTCTCCGCACTCTCACGCTCGATTAACGCCGCGCGACGTCGCCATCGCGAACGCGATAAACGAGAAGGAGACCGTGATTTGCGCGAGGCACGGCGAAATTATAGCGCGCGATCGATCGGAGGGCACCGACTATTTCCAGAATTACGCCGTGGCCGGGAGAGGCTCGGGTTCTTCGAACGACGCTCCGCGTCGACACAGCGTGTGAAAAGGAAAACGTGTTTTACTCTCGCATCACATCCCATCGCTTCGTGTATGCAATCTCAATTGGTGTTCTTCTCCCTCCCTACCTCCAAATGGCGGCCGAGCACTAACATCGGAGATGCCGCTATGAATTTCCGCTTCCGTTGCGCCGTTGCAAAAAGTCGCGCGGCGCGCTCGCGGCCAATACGCGAGGGCGATAAAATTAACGAGCGGGGCACGCGATCCGACCTTTAAGAGGTCGCATCGGTCGAGCGCGACGAAATGCAAATGCACGACGTATACACATAGGTACCATTAATGCAGTCCCATCTCGAGAAATCGAGATGTCGAATCGTTCTGTCAGGCGCAACAAATCTAAATATTCGTGCGTCATGACTGTGGATCATTCAACGAATAGGCGACGCTGCTCCAAAGCAGCATCTCTATCATCATTTGTCGGGTTTGACAGCTTCACATTAACCTGTGTAACGCGAACTATGAACGAGCAGCTGATTGGTAACCCAGTTTAGTAAAGAGATATTTCAAAACGATACGAATGGTGAAATGGAAGCAGAGGAGCAACAGGAGGAGGCCATCGTAAATATCGAAATTAGTTCTGCGTGTAGATATAATATTTGTATGAAATTACCCTTAACATAGCCGGTGATTCTCTGTATGGTGACAGGTCGCTGCTTTGGAGGGCGTTACCTTCGAATGGTCATGACGCACGAATATTTGTTGCGTCTGACTGGACAATTCGATATTTCAATATTGTTCGAGACGGGACTGTATTAACCCATTAAGGCCCAAGAGAAAACCGCTAAGGATAGGCTTTCAAAAACCATCTAAATTAGGGCAAAACGTCGAAATTTGTTAAAAAGCGAAGAAAAATTTGTGTTGGATTTCAAAATTCAAGATGACGGACCAATATGTCAGCCCGAAAATTTGATATTTTGATCTATTTGAGTGAAAATCCGTATAGGGGGATCCGTTTGGGGTTCGCTGATTATGAATATGCGCTTATTTTTTCAAAATTCGTAATGGCGGATCCAATATGGCCGCCCAAAATGCGAAAATTTGACATAGTTTTATTTGGCGAAAAATCCAACCAAATTATAAGCTACCTTTCGAAAATGTTTGTTTTGGGGCAAAACATCATACTTTAGCAGACTATAGAGGAAAAATGGTTTTTTGACTTTAAAAATCAATATGGCGGCCAAAAATTTTTAATTTTGATTTATTTCAATGAAAGTACGTTTTGAAAAATTTTGAAAAAATAAATGCATATTCACACTCAGCGAACCCAAAACCCCCCCTATACAGATTTTCACTCAAATAGGTCAAAATTTCAAATTTTCGGGCCGACATATTGGTCCGCCATCTTGAATTTTGAAAATCAACATAAATTTTTTTTCACTTTTTGACAAATTTCGACGTTTTGTCCTAATTTAGATGGTTTTTGAAAGCCTATCCTTAGCGGTTTACTCTTGGGCCTTAATGAGTTAATGGAGTATCTGATGTACGCTCCTGGGGATCCCCCGGCCAGTACAGAGACTCGCGGAAGAGAGCGATTAAAAAGTCTTTATTGCCACGCGACACGTCGATAAACAGCTAATAATAAGAAATCTCCGCGCGTGTGGATCGCGCACGTTTCCTCCACCTTCCAATCGGAGTGATATACACCTGCGAACGTGCAGCGCGTGCTCAGGGAGCATTCTGCGCCGCTCGTATCCGTCCGTTCGTTTTACTGCGACGCGTTATCGCGCCGGACGATTTGTTCGATTACTCTTTCACGCTTGTTTACAAGCTTGTATCGTGATTTCAATTCTCAGCTCGGCGACGTTATCGTAAACGCGTTTACTGAGCATTTGCGTAAACTGCAGTTACTTGTTTGAGAGAACATTGTGATAGCGTTACTCCGCTGTTTTCTCGATAGAATTGTGATATGCACGAGTAGTAGTAGTAGTAGTGGTGGTGGTTATGGTAGTAGTAGTTGTAGTAGCAGTAATAGTAATAGTAATAACAATAGTAACGGTGGTGGTAACAGTAGATTAAAACCCGTAATAGTCGTTACTCAAAATTCCTCTCGAGATACTCAGATTTAAGTTAGATGAGAGTTTCTCAGTTGAATCGCGATTACAGATGTAATGTTATATACATCATGTGACTGAAAAATTGGCATCTAATTCTGATTAAAAATCCGAGTATCTCATCACATGAGACTAGTTTCGAGCGACAGCTATTAATTCGAGTTCTATGACTTATATTAACAGTCGTTATTTGAAATTCCTCTCAAGTTAGATACTCAGATCTGAATCTAGAGTTGGATCTGAGTTTTTTAATTGAGACACGTGATGTATGCGACATTGCGATTCCACTGAGAAAAACCACATCAAACTCTAAACTTATACGCGAGTATCTCACTCGAGGCAAGTTGCAAGCGACGACTATTAATAGATAGATGTTGCTTTATAAAAGTGTGCCCCAACACGTAGCGTAGTCTGTTCTTTAAGCGCTCACGTAGATACCTCGTGTCGTCGCGTCACGCCAAACGAGAAATCAAAAAGAGAAGAGAGAGAAAAAAGGAATAAAGGGACACGACGAACGCGACGAGGGGGATCTCCCGCGCGCGACTCTCGCGTTTGCGAGAGCTCGGAAATGAAAATAATGTAACATGCTTCACGGAGTTTACTCGGCGATCGTCGTGATGGTAGTACAGCGAGTTCATAAATTTACTTTCGAGACTCGGGCGAACGTGCAGTAAGTAAACGAACGAGAGCGACTCGGAGCTTCAACTGCAGAAGGCTCTCCGTTGTCATTTTGATATTTAATTAGTTTGCTTTGGCCGGCGTAGTACTTGGTCGATGCCCACTTGAGAAGTTAATCGATTAGGCTTTGACGGACGCAGCTGGACCGCCAAACGGACGACGTCCCCTCGGCGTTGACGTAGCGCGAGGCATCGTCCTCCCGATTTCTCCGTTCATCTACCAAGAGAACGAGTCGCCCTGCCACTCGACCTACTCACTCGCCAACACTACAGGAATCGCGCTGTAGCAATCGCGCGATGCGGTCGACGGCGATCGATGTATCCGGCGGGATTTCGCCGACGAGGATCCGCGGCGCGCCACAGCCCCGAAATTGTCAAATCGCAAAAACGTCGCCGCGATACACCGCGCGCGCGGTAATGGGCGCGAGATTGGAAGACGATTTCGTGTGCATGGAGCTGGGAGAGGATCCGGCGAGATCGTCCTGAAATGCGACCGACAAAATCGCAAAATTTGAGCGCGCGCGGCCACGTGCCGCGAGAGAATTTCTATAACAGAATTTCTACACCTCTCGACGTGGCGCGCAGAGTGTTTCGTGGCATCCACTTCCACGAGGATGGATTCCTGCCGTCCCCGAAACCAATAACGAAATGCTCGGTGCGATGCGCGAAATCGCAATTTCAGCTGTGGAAAAAGTTCAGATAGCCAAACGGCGATCGTATTACCACCGGGCTCTCCCAATTTGCCGGCGCGCGTTTTTGCGAATTACTCGACTCGGAGAGGTGCGTCGCGCACGAGCAGACGGAACGACATGTCGCGAGGCTAAGATTCGATCGATGTCCTCGCGTGTTAGATCGACGCGGAATGTCGAGGAAGCGCGCTCGTTCCGAACAGCCTGTCCCGCGCGCGCATTCGCCAGCAAGTTTATGAAGAAATTTCTCGCCGCTCGGTATGCATTCACTCGACACAAATATGCGAAAAATTCTCGCAATTCACGGCGCGAATACCTTCTATTATATCGCGTATTGTCAATAAACGTGCTCGTCGTCGTCGTCGTCGTCGTCATCCGCGTTGCGTCGCATTAACGACGTTTCGCGTTGCATTCAATTCTCCGCACTCGGCGGGCTTAACCCTCCGCCAAAGTGTGTACACGTGTCTCTCCGTCACCCCGTTTTCTTTTTTTTCTTCCTTTACTTTTTCTCTTTCCCCCTTATCCACACTACATTCACACTTCTCGGCTGATTTGCTACGAGATGTCGGTACAATCACGGTACATGGTGAGGATGGACGGAGGGGAAGTAATAAGGACGTACAAGAATCTCAATATTCACCTGTTCCGTTCTCTCCGCTCGGCCGGATGCGCGCATCGTACCGGCCTGGTCCTAGAATGTTATCGAGCACTTGCTTCTCCTTCTCGCGAAAGTTTACCTTTACCTGCGTACATCTGCAAAAACCAACGGAGACTTTGGTCAGATCGATCGTAGAGCTATGCGACGACGTTCGACCTCCGATTTTTATTTTCGCGTTCTCTTTCACGCACCACGTTCTCGAGATCAGTCGTGACGTTTGCGAGGATCACTCGCAATCTATTTCGCGCACTGACTCCGGGAACGGGTATTACTTCACATAGACCTCACTTTCTCGGAAAGAATTCTTTTTTCCTCATATACATACATACATACACACGCGCGTGCGCGTGGCGAGAATTTCATAGTAAAAATTACAGCAAAATTTTCCGAAAAAAACCGGGGGAAATAGATTGACATTCTACAATTAATCTCCTTACATGTATGTACTGCTTATATTTCAGGAACTGAAATGCTATTAAACAAATTTTTTAAAATCTGCTATGTTTCCGGAGAAATGTGTCATGTTTCTTAGCAAGATAACTGAAAAGAATATTCTCTTTTATATAAATTCTTTTCAATTTTGTCATGTTCTTAGTAGTCCAGGAATGGACTGCCAGGTAAGGCCTGTCTCACTAAAGAGCATAGTGAATTTCGCTAAAAGCATAGCAGGTTTTGTTACAAACATAGCAATTGTCTTAACAGCGCGTTTTTTAAAAAAGAATTTATATGAAAAGAAAAGAGAAAAAAGAACTACGATATTCTGCCCAAGACATGTTAAAGTGCCTGGTAAAAGGCTGTATATATGTTCCGTCGGGAAGAACGTGCATTCCCAGACATTGTCCTGCATTTCAGTTCTTAAAATATAAGTAGCATATACGAAACGAAAAGAATTACAGCAGAATGCCGATTCACTCTACAGTTAAAAAAAATTCTACAGAAACTGTGCTATTGTAAAATTTTCCCCTTACATGACGGTCTATTTCTGCACCACAATAACACACACAGCAAGACCGAAAAGAATTTATATAGAGGAGGAAAAAAGAAAAAAACAGATACAATTCTCTCTCTGTGTGCGAGGTATGTTAAAGTGCCCGGCAGAAGGCTGTACGTATCTTCTGTCGGGAAGAACGTGTATTCCCAGAGATCGTCTTGTATTTTGAGGTCCCTCTTACATTTCGCACGTGCAATTTCGCTCACGCAATCTGTTCGCGCACTCGGCGCAAGGAATTTCAAACGGAATGTGTGTCGATCGTGTTGAGCTTCCCGTATAAACTTTATGCACCATAACAATCCTATCCGGCTCAATAACATATATATTTACGAGCTACAACCGCGGAATTATATTTCTATCGTTGTCGCGCACGAACGCAGAAACGCGTGTTGTGACTTGATGTCAAAAACGCACGAGCGTTACATTAATGCACGCGGCGCGGCGACGTGAATGAACGCAATCGCGACTCTGCTGTGGGACCTCTCTGCTGTCGTCGGAAATTCGTCGGATATTCGAGCGTATCAGGGCAGTAACCTACCTCGATGGATGCAGCAGGGCCGCTAGCAACACCAATAACGGGAGTACTCCAGGCCACATTGCGCTGGCCTGCAACCGAACAAGATGCATATACCTTTACGAGAATCCTGCGGTGTGGTCGCGGTGAGCACGGGGACTCGCACATCAGCGACGACGAAACTTATACTTCAATCAATGTGCGATCTGCACACACGGAAGAAGGGAGACCGACTACTGGAGACCAGGCAATTCTTGGTGAAATACGAACAAACCGGAAAATTCCGCTTGACGTTACCAGAATTCTGCTCGAGTTAATGAGAAATCTGGTTAACTTGAACGCACGGAATTCTGGTAACTCCAGCCGGAATTCCTGCGGCTCGCTCATATTTCACCAGAAACTTGCTTAACGCGCGACCCAAACCTTTTTTCCCACGGGATATATTGTTCCGACACGTGGTCCGCGGTTTCTCATTTAGAGAACGTCACCAAGGTCACTCAGATGATTCACGCGACAAATATCGTTGTTTTCGCGTGCAAACCGTTCGCTCTCTCCCAAGACGCAGGCCATCGATTCGCGTCAGTATGCAAAATTCGCACTCGCACTGCACGCAGACTGATGGAATTGTAACAAAGCGAATATTTATTCTAGTCCGACCCGCACGAAAACAGTTGGATGTAATAATCGAACCTGCCTTTATCGTATCTCCGAATCCTCTGAGGATTGATCGAATTAAATCACTGCGTGTGCGTATCTAAGTACACAGAAATCAGTCGTGTTTCTCGTGCCACACTTCAGTGTCTACTCTGTCTATCGCGTGAAAATTTATTACGCGAGGAGAGAACACGGCTCTCTCTCTCTCTCTCTCTCTTTCTCTCTCTCTCTCTCTCTCCCTTTTTCCCTCTCTGTGTCTTTGCCTGTCGTACAATTTGGTTTTGCGACAAAGAAATCGGTGCAATGTCGATTAGCGCTCGCGTGTTACTGAGAGCTCCGGTGTCAACCGCGAAAATCTTGCTCACGGTAATCCCTTACCGCTCCCCGCGTATCTTCTCGTCTAGGCTAGGATGACGATCTATCTGTCTGTTTGTCTGTCCGTCCGCCCGTTCGAGCACGGTTAACTCGACTAACGGCGAATTGGACGCTTGCCCCGCGAACGTGAGTCAAGGTAAAAGTAGTTGTATCACGTTTAAGAATTGAGCCGCTGCCAAGATACGCACCGCCGACCTATTCCCACTACAACAACACGCGTGTGTATTCCGCGCGGAAAAAAGTAAACTATCGCGAGAAGTGCCGCGGCACGTGGCTTTATGCCACTCGAGTACACACATCGCGATTCTACGTAGCGTGCAGTCAGCGTCATGTGTACACGCGCTACCATTCTCTGGTACACCTTTTATACATCTACGTACAGGGCTATGTAAAAGGCTATTATGTTGATAGTTAACAAATAAAGAGTATCTTTGAATTTGCAGCAACTATTCCACTTAAAAAAAAAACTATTTTAACAATTTTAACTATTTTAATTACTCTACCTAAAAAAAAAACTAACTTTATCAAATGATGTTACCTTCGATACCAAACATTGATTGATGAAAAACCAAAATTTCGTACTTTGCTTGGTTTTAGAAATAATAGCCTGTAACGCCTGTATCTATTATATGTGTGTGTGTGTGTGTGTGTGTGTGTGTGTATATATAATAGAATACACATGTGTCTGTCACTCTATATGCGTTCCCTATATATTAATTCCTAAACCCTCTGATCGATCTGGACCATATTTTACATAGTTACTCTTGGACCCTGCGGAAAATAGGCTATGTGAAACCTGAACGTCTCACTCCCTCCCTCTGATTCCATCTCCTTCAAACTTTGCGATAATTTAAGTTAAGATATTTTAGATTTAAAAAGTTCACGATAACGCCAGATAACTTGAGTTCTGATGATATAAGGTTGAAAATTGCATAAATAATTTTAAGTGAGGTTGCAATATATCTGCTTATGATTTCGACCTGATATGTGTCAGGTTAGGTTGAAAATTCCATAGTTGTCGGTCTTACGGTGGGACGGTACGTATGGCGATGGCTACATCTCGAGTTCGCTGCACCATCGGCATGTTTCGAGCGGACGGGACGCACGAATTAGCAACCTTTCGACGAACTTCAGATAATTAGGGATGTTTTAAGGACGTGGAATTCGGTGGACCGCTGTAACATCGGCTGGCAATATCGGGTAACCCGAAAATTTCGAGTACGCGACCCGAGCTCGACTCACATTACACGGCCGACTCAACCGCGCTCGAACACGAGATACACACAGACAGAGCTACTCGAGAGACCTAATCGGCCGTTTGAATGCTTCGTGGTCAGTTTCTACCCTCCGGCGCCAATCCCGTTCGTCGCGCATCATTGTTACCGAGATCCCCCGCGCGTGTGATTTTTGATCCCCTGCTGAAGGCGAATCGCCCCGTTCGCTAAGAGGTCAGAGGTTTTGCGTCACGCGCGCAAAAAGCGTGACGGACTGAAATTCTTCCGCGGTTCAAGCGCCCTCAATTCGTGCAACTATGTCGAGATCGGGGGAGATTGAGAGCGAGTTGGTGCGTGCACCACTTTCACTACGAATGTACGTCATATTTGGCCACGTCCGTCGCAATCATCGACGATTTTCCGCCGCAAAATATTAGCCCATCTTGCCACTTGATTACACTGGCGATCAACGCATACAATACGTCAAATGTGTCGACGTAAGAGCAATTTTCACGGTCAATACGGTTGACACTTTGTCCCTGCCGGACGCAAAAGTGCGATCAAAATGATTGCGTCTAACGAGGTTGCTACGTGAACGGCAAGCGTGAATGAGCGAGTATGTAATGGGAGGTGTTCTTTTACAGCAACAATATTGACAATATCAATAATATTGATTAACAATGTCGTTCATGATATCGCGGAGGGAAAAGGATAGGTAAAGGTAGCTAGAGAGAGAGAGAGAGAGAGAGAGAGAGAGAGAGAGTGTGTGTGTGTGTCTTTATCGCGGCGCAACATCTCTGGTCGTGAATTATGTTGGTTTCACTGACACGTCATTAGCGAATTAGCGTCTCACCGGCGACCGAGATAAAAAGCAACCCCCTATCGTTCTATTCGCGTCCTACGACGTCTATTTGCGTTTTTATCTCCTCAGAAAAGGCGCCTGAGTGCGATGTAAATGTCGTGTCTCTGGTTGGAGAGCACAAGAGAGAGAGAGAGAGAGAGAGAGAGAGAGAGAGAGAGAGAGAGAGAGAGAGAGAGAGAGAGAGTGCATAATTCATAAGTTCATTTTAAGCACGAAGTCATGCTTAAGACGACGGTGAACGAGCTGCGACGGACGCGCGACAACTCGTATAAATATCGAGACAAATCCTTCTCCCAGCGAGTCCTTCTTTTGTGCAACAGATTTTTCCCGACGGTCGTAAAATTGATCGAAATTCACGAGCGAGCGTGAAGCAGGGGCATCGATCTCTCCTAGGAGTTTATTAGAGCCCCCACCCTGTTCGCGCTAAAGCTGTGCGAATGGACCACGCGGGCACCATAATTCATAATTCAGGCACGCAGCTGACTAATGGCGTCAAAGAAGAAGACCGTGCGAGCGATTATCACGAAGAGTCCTGCCCAGCGATTTACAGCACGTGCTTCTCGTGTTAACTCTCAGTGCGTCTTTGTCAGATGAATAACGTGAAATGAGAGACACCGTAATCGAATACATGATCGATTTCATCACACGACGCATTAGCTTATCGCGCGAAACGGATCATCGCTGTAATCAGTCATTGAATGACAAAAGCCATTTAATAGAGAGAGGTAAAGCGCTCGAAAATGCATTCGCGCCGTAGATCGTGCGTCGTATATTTGACATGTCCCCGAAATTCATCAATCTTGATGCAACTGTGCGGGATATACGTCACGTTTATCATTAAGTGAGATCCGACGGGGAGACGATAAAAGGAACGCACTTTGTACGCGAGGCGCACGTGAAAAAAGAAAAGAAAATGAGGCTATTCCGGAATTTCTGTCTCAAATTATCTCGGCGAACACCTAGATGCACCCCGCCTCGCATAAGTACACTCTCTCTCATCTTGATCTGCGAAATGCTCGCTTGCACACTGGCCCTCCATACTCGTCACCACCGTCACCACCGTCGCGTTATCGTCCGTTATTTGGAGAATTCAAAAGAAGAAGCAAACGGAACAGCCACCTCGAAGTTCTCTCCGTAATGAGCCGTGCGAGACAACCGATGCGATTTCGCGTTAAGAGATACGTTTTTCGATTGACCTATCAATCCGCTCGTCCATACTTGCGGATCCGTCTTTCCATTCTGCCAATTGTCCATATTTATCTGTCCGTCCGTAACGGCACGATCGTCGATGCTCTCATGTCCATCAGTCTATCTATCAAGCTATCCGTCCATCTAGCTACCACGCCTGTCACTTAGCTATCTGCACGTGCATATTTATTTATCTACGGCCCTTCCTTTGGTCACCCAGTCACTCTTTTCGTCCTCTGGTTACCTCTTTCGTTAATCACTTCCTAGTCGTTTGTCTTCTTCCACTACCGGTGCTCATACTTTGGGTCTTACTTTGGGTCGCCTACTCGATCACTTCTACGTCGGCCGCGCACTCTCGATCGTTGTCGTCCCGTATGTATTTCTGTCTCTTCTCCTCTGTATCTTTCTCTCTCTCATCCTCTTTTGAGAGAGAATGGGAAGGTCCCTGGGATATCCCGCGACTCCGTATCCCTCGAACGCCCGTCACCCCGAAACGCCGAGATTCGAGCGAGATTCGCGCGCAATCTTCCTCTCTTGCAACGCGGGGCGCACAGTCGAGTAAAATAAAAACACGAGGAAATATGAAGCCGCCCGGGGAAGCCTTACCTGGAGAAGCTGACAGTCCTAGATGCTCAGCAGCCCACTGCTACGCTCGATGATTGACATAATGCCGCTCTCTCAGATACCGGCGGGCGGCCGAACTCTCCTTTTGCTCTCTCTCTCTCTCTCTCTCTCTCTCTCTCTTTCTCTCTCTCTCTCTCTCTC